TCTCAATATGTTATTGTCAATAAGTGAACCTTTGAATCCAAAAATCAGGACATATGGTCTGCCACAAAGGCGTGTCCTTCAGAGGACAGACATCAGGACAGAGTATGTGAAAGCACGATGGATGCCCTAGGAAGGCCAGGATGGAGTGGCATCAAGGTCTCACTCGTGTCCTTCCCCACGGTCTGGGGACAGTGTGAACTCCCAGGAGTCTGCAATATCTTGGGAGCCTCCAAAGAAACCATTCCAAACAAAGGTGTCACCCTCCCACCCACGGCAGACTCTCAGTTAAACCTTAGCCTTGTTTCCAAAGAAGCCCCTGGACCCGCAGGGAAGGCTCCAAAGGCCTGAGACCAGGGAGCTGTCCAGGAACTCAGCCCAGCTCCAGAGGGGGAAGCCACCGCGCTGGCGGCACCATCGCCATCGGGAATACCAGCTATTGGCAAATGCAAGAACTTCCCTCCCACTCAGTGGTCTACATACATGTTGAATCAAACTCTGCACCAGAAATATTCTTTGTTTCAGGCACCATTTCCCTACCTGCCCGGCACCAAGAGGTAATTAACATGTCTCAAAATCACACCTAATCAGCACGGTGATGATCCCTTAAAGGAGAAACCACCATTTAGAGTCTACTTGTTCTAGGTAAGCTCAGTAACTGAGCTCACCTAAGAAGATTAACAGACCAGGGAAAGGAAGGAAAAGCAGACACAGCCTCAGAGAGGGGGTGGCTGTCTGTTGGGGCTGGCAGCAGGCTCCAAAATGCCTCTTTTAGTTATTGAAATATGCAAGAGTCTGGGGTGTGTCATTTCTAGGCCTCCCATTCTTCTTCCCAGCCAGGTGATGGTCACCACAGGGCTGCCTTGTCCAGGGTCATACCGTGTCAGGTGGAGGGAATAAACAGTGGTGTTTTGCATGCAGCAAGGTTTGCCTTTCTCACCCCATTTCGTTCCCAGCCTAGGGCAGTAGGACTATTAACCCCGTCACACTGATGAAGAAACACACTCTGGGGGATTAACTAACTGGCCCAGGGTCACCCAGCCAGCAACAGGTAGAGTCTGGACAGAAGCCCAGGTGCCAGACCACCGCACTTTGTCACATGGTGGCGAACCTCACCGTGGGGAGGCTAAAGGGTGACATTCTGGAGAGAGAAGGCAGCTGGGACTGCCCTCCTAGGGCCAGGACTGACCTACGAGGCAGCAGACAGCTGATGTGCTGTTCACCATCTTTATTTATTTATTTGTGCCCACAAATCCCCCCAGAAACCTTGTTAAGATGCAGATTCTGACCTTGCAGGTCTGGGGTGGGGCCTGAGAGTCTGCATTCCTCGCACGCTCCCACAGGATGCCCAAGTGGCTAGTTGGCAGCTGGAACCTAGACTTGAGCCGAATTTTTTCCCACCTCACCCCACCGCCTCCCTCCCCCCCTTAACTCGTGTGGTCACTCTCTTGCTGGAACTCACAGGGGCCTGGCCTATCACTGCTGCACATTTTGTGTTTTTGAAATGGACTGATTACAATGGTACGCACAGTGGGGCGGGAGGCAGAAAATGGATTTCTGGGGTCTGTTTTCAGCTTGGCATTTGGCCTCTTCTTCCTTATCCACCTCTTGGCAAAATGTCTAAACCAATTTATCTCAAAGGAGTCAGGCTGGAGCAGCGTGCTCTGAAAGTGTCTACTATTTCAAGCCCTTGCTGGGAGGGGCGGCCGCGCTCCCGTCCCAGAAGAAGCGAAAGCCGCTGAATAGGAAGTCCTCTGCAGGCAGGACTCCTCCACTCGGAACCCTCCCTTGGCTCCCACCTCATTCAGAGAGAAGCCAAAGCCTTAACCATGACCTCCAAGGCCTCAGGTGACCTGACCCCGCCACCCCTCTGCCCTCATTAGGTCTCTGCCCTTGACGTCCCCTCCCTAGAACATGCTTCGCCACGGCCTCGGATCCGATCTCAAATGCTACCTTCCCCCTGAGGCCCTCCCTGGCCACACAGTAGTATCCTCTGAGCTCCCCAACCACCCCTCTCCAGAAGCACTGCTGCCTCTTCCCCTCTTGAACCCCCCCTCCTTCCCTCGAGCCCCCTCCTTCCCTCTTGAGCCCCCTCTTAACCTCTTGAGCCCCTCTGACACCACTTACCACCATCTGGCAACCTGCAAATTTTACTTACTGGTTTTTGTTTACATCCCCTTGTCCCTTCCCCACTAGAATGTGGACTTCATAAAGGCAGGGACATTTGTCATTTTTGTCTGTTTTATTCACTGGTATACCCCCAGTGCCTAAAACAGTGATGAGCATGTAGCAAGTACTTGATATTTACTGAAGAGATGAATGAATGAACAAACAAATGAATGAATGAATGAAGGGCCTACATATTAAGATATCAGACTCTGTGAGTAGCCCTGGGAGTCATTAGTTCCTGTGATCCTCGTAACAACCCCTGCAAACTCAGTGTTTTACTCCCCTTCTAAGGTGAGGAGACTGAGGCTCTGAGTGGTTAAGTGATTTGGCCACGGACATAGAGTCAGGCTCAGGCACGGGTCTGCTTCGTTCCAAAGACTGTGTTCTGTTCCGCCTGTGGCTGCCTTCAAACCATCTTACTATGACAAACATGACATTAACTCGCCTTACTTATTCCAAGCAGCAAATGCTTTAGCATAAGGATTTTGCCAAATCTGCCCAGAACCTGAGGTCCAGTGCACCCAAAAGGATCTAGGGGGAGCTGGTGCCCTCAAAGCCGGAAAGAAGTCCCACCACCAGCCTAAGGAAGCCCCCAGCAGCTGAAGGAAGGGAAGGACCCTCCTTCCACATTTCTCTGAACCCTAAAGAAGAGCCACAATAACTCTGGCTTTGTTTCATCTTTTTCTTGGCTGTGTATGTTTATGTTCCTGAGCAATCTCTTTGACCTTTTCAAGTCTGGGTAACCTTTTACCATCAAGGACTGCTTACAAACTATGTGGGTTCTGGGGCAGGAATCTCCCTCTCAAGAGCTTCCCAAAACCAAACATGCACACAGACCCATGGACCACAGTGCCCCACACAGCCCCTCCCCCAAAAGCCCCATAATGACTGAGGCTCAGGCCCCAGGGACCAGCCCCTGAGAAGGGAGTTCCAAGCCTTGGGGGGCAGGGAAGGTAAGATGGGCCCACACCACCAAAAGACCATCTACCCTCGAATTCCAGAGGCCACCATAGTTTGAGTTGCCCCTCCCCCACTCATCACTCTCAATCACCTTACCGTGTCTGTTTTTCTTTAAATCACCTCTCCCTATCTGAAGCTAACCTGTTTACTGATATATTGATAGCCAGCTATCTCGTCTCCTCAGAAGAGTTTAGGTAGGAGCCTGGTCAGTGCTGCTCACTTCTGTTCCATTTCTGGCACAGGCGGACATGCAAATATTGGCGGAACGAATGAGTAAACAAAGCAGGAAACAAGTAGGTTCTGAAGGAAAGAACCAGGGGGGTTCACAAATGAACCCATTTAACCCTAACATCAACCTGCCCTGAAGGGATTGTATGCCTACCCAGCTGGGAAGTGACAAAGTAGACCCAGGGCTGTCCAACTCCAAGAGGAAATGAGACCTTGCTGCAAGTCAGGAGAGGAGAAGCAGGAGAAGCCAGTGAACCTTACAGGAAGGGCAAGGGCAAGCTGCCATTGGGGCCCATGGGACCAAAGACCGTTTTTATCAAATGAGGACTTAGGGAAGAGTCAACACTTTCCACCAAGCTGAGCCCAGGTAGGTCTAGGCTTCCTCCGTGCCCCTGGGACAGTCATGGCACCTGCATCCACCCAGAAAATATCCGCCCAAAGCAGGGCACCCCAGTTGAGAGTGTGCAAAATCCAAGTTCGTACTTCAAGTCACTAATACCGTAAAAGGCACAATCATAAACCATTCTTGACGAAGACACGTGACATCCTTCTCCATTTCTGGGTGGTTTGAGGTTAGAGGGTTGAAAATAGTGCGAGGTCCTTTCTTAGAACAGTGCCACTCATTCATTCATTCATTCTTTCATTCATTTGTTCAGCCAACATTTGCTCACAGAGCCTCAGGTTGCCAGGGATGAAATAACACAAAACCTCTGCCCTCTTACCAGTCTACTGGTGCCTGTGGTTTTTGGCGGGTACTAGAAGACCAGCAAATATTAGCGATACTTGCTTCCAAAACAAATAAGGCCACGTGGAGCTGCGCTTTGAAATGGGATTTTGGATGCAATTTTGATTCGACTGGGTACGAGAACCAATTCAGTCAACGGGGCCATAGACTAACTCCAAACACCAGGTTTCTACTCAGTGGCTCCCTCAGACCCGTTCTTCCTCCGGGCACCAAGCCTCTTGCCCATCCAACCCCATTCTTCGACAACATTCCCACCTCTCTCTCTACAATACTCTCTCTCTCTGACTCTCTTGACTCTACTTCCCCAAACTTGACCTCCGTAGGTCCACAGCTTTGACATCTAGTCTCTGAACCCCAGGACACACACATCTCACCTGCCTTCCACCACCTCCCCCTAACACACCCCCCAAGTCTGAGCTTCCCCCTGGAGCCCCATGAACGTCATGTGTTTACAAACCCTATTTCCCAGGGGTCTCTGTTCGACACCCCCCTGGGAACAGCATACGCACACCCTGTAATCCCCTGCACGCTGCACGGGCCGTGCCCGGGGGAGCACCCTCCCCCATCGCCTCCAACTTCTTAGGACCCAAAGGCCGCCCTGGCCCCTGGGACCCCGGTCGCGCAGCCGGCTCCTGGAGCCCCCCCGACGCGCGGACCCCACAGGAGCCCGCCGGCACGCCGGAACTCCGGGACGCGGGGCACGGCCCCCGCCGGACGCCCCCACCGCGTGACGCCCCGGACCCCGGGCTGCCCAGGCCCCGGCCCCGCGCACCTCGCCGGCGCGGCGCCCGCGATCCCGGCCGCGCCCCTGCCCGCGCCCCGCCGCGCCTCCGGGGCTCGGCCCGGCCCGGCGGAGACCGCGGCGCGCCCCGCAGCCCAGGCCGGCGCGCCCGGCGCCTACCGTTGGCGATGAGCTTGGCCGACAGCTGCTTGACGAGCTCGGGGATCCGCTCCCACTGGCACTCGGAGCGGCAGCGCTCGATCTCCGTCTCGAGCCGCGAGCCCGCCTTCCTGGTCGCCATCGCGGCCTGGCCGGGCCCGGCCCGCCCGCCCGCAGGCCCCGCAGGCCCCGCAGGCCCCGCCGCCGCCGCCGCCCGGGCGCCCCCGCCGCCGCCTCCCGCTGCCGCCGCGGGCGCGGGCTCCGGCTCCCGGCTCCGCGGCGTAACGGGAGCGCCGGCTGGGGAAGGGGCGGGGAGGCGGGCGGCGGCGGCGGCGGCGGCGGCGGCGGCGGGCGGCGGCGGGGGCCCCGGGCGCCGCGAGGAGCGGCCCCTGCCGGCCAGGGCCGGAGCGGCAGCCGGGCGGGGGGCCGGGGCCGCGCGCGGCTGGGGCGGCTGGAGGCCGAGCGAGGGCAAGGTGCGACGGAGGCCCGGCAGAGGAGGGAGGCGGGTGGGGGGGTGGGGAGAGGAGGGCCTGGGGTGGGCCGGGGGCTGGGGTCAAGACCCGAGGTGGAAGCGGTGGGGGGAGCGGCGGTGGTGCGGGCAGGTGAGGAAGGGCCAGGGTGAGGGGTGGCGGGGTGGGGGTGGCTGGGGATCTGAGGGGAGGGGAGATACTGCGAAGGGGCGGATGGGAATGGGGCCTAAAAGGGGCATCGACCCTGAGGAAGGTCACCCGCCAGACAGGACTAGCGGGCCTGGTGTGAGGCGGGTGTGAGGGGGAGCCTGCCCGAGCTTGTCCTGCCTTCTCAGGTTTCAGGTGGATCCCTCTGGGCCTGGGCTGGCCTGTCCCCCTCTGGAGGCCCCCCCTGCCCCTGGCAGCCTTCTCCCCCAGCCAGACGAGGTGGGCGAAGAGTCGTCCGTCTCAGGCCCTCACGACACCTGCCCAGGGGCTCCATAAATGTCTGTGGAGTTGAACCGGGCCTGGTAAGGACTGCTGCCAGCTCAGATGCCAGCTGCCTTGCCCTCTGAGGAGGATGCAAAGTCACCAGTGGGGTTTCCTTGCCTGGGCTCTGTGGACTTCGGGGGGGGGGGGCAGGTGTCCAAGGTGTGCATTCTTTTAGTTATTTGGTAACTATGTAAGATCACCAGCTCTGTGCTTGGCCCTGTGCTGGGTGCTGGGAATACAGTGGAGAACTCAACAGACAAGATTTCTGCGTCAGTAGAGCTTTCATTCCAGCCGTCAATTAGAAAATAAGCAAAATAAGCAAAATAAAGCCGTCAATTAGAAAGTGAACATGGCTATTTGAAGAAACAAGCCCGCCAAGTGAGGAGACTACAGAGTGGGGGCAAGGGGGTGTGGAAGATGTCGCATCAGTGGGACATTAGCCATGGCCTCATGGAAGTGGCACCTGACGAAGACTTGAAGAGAGTGGGAGAGAGCCATGAGGATATCTGTGGGGGAAGAGCATTCTCGGCAATGGAAACTGCAGTGCAAAGGCCCTGGGGTCAGGGCATATTTGGGGAGCTGGAGGAACAGCAAAGAGACCCGTGTGGCTGGAGTGGAGTGAGGGAGAGCAGCAAGGCAGGAGGAGTTTCCGTTCATGGCAGGCCTTGGGGGGCTGTTAGAAAGACCTTGGGCTTTTACTCTGGTGGAATGCGATGTCCATGCAGGACTTTTAACAGGGTCACTTTCTGACCTACACTTTAGGGACGTCACTGTGGCTGCCTTGCTAACACTGCCGGTGGTTTGGGAGAGGGGTGGCTGCGGACGCCTCAGGGTGACAGCTGTGGCCGGGTGAGGATACTGGATCGTGGACAGTGTGTCTGAGGACGGAGCTGATGTTCTGGAACTCCGGTGCTCTGAAGCAATGTCCTCAGCAGCGGCACCCCGTCTGGGTACCTCAGTCCAGCCTTCCAGAAGTTTCACACGGGCTTGTCTCTTGTCTCCTCAGCAGCCCTGGCGCTCTTCTTGGGGAGAACAGACATGGCGGACAGTGGTTCACCATGAGGGATCTGAAAGGAGACATTGCACGTAAGGAGGGAAGGTCAGGAAATAACTTCTGCCGTGGCCAGCATAACCTTCAGGCACTCCCAAGGACCTATGTCGAAGGTGACCTGAAGGGCCTCAAGTGCTGGGGACAAGCCCCAGGAAAGGAATATATCTTAGCAGGGGACCCTTTAGTGCCCGGTGCCTTCGGTTCTGCCAAGAAGGAACAAGAAGAACAAGAGAAGAAATCTCCACCGGAGATATTTTCCCTCCCCCTCAAGCCCTCATGTTCTCCTCGAAGCTCTAGCATGGAAATCTGTCTCTCCAGACATTTGCCTGGAATGTTCTGTCCCCTCTGGTCCAGGAGGGAAATTCCTGTGCATTCTTGGAGACCCAGGCCAGAATAGGGCTTCTAAGGACAAGCTTTGTAGTGAAGTTTAAGACTGCCTCCGCGGCCACGCTGGAATGTGACTTATCAGTGTTCCACGTATGTCCCCCTGGCTGGTAAGTTCCGAGACAAGGCCTATGTCTTCACGAGGGCGGAGCGGAACCTGGACCCTAACTCAGCAGATACCTCCACGCCTTACCTGCTCTAGCTTCTTGGCCAGAATGGCGGTCCCATAGACTTGGTGGAGAATTAAACAAGAAAATACAAGCAAAGCACTTTAAAATGGCATTGACGCACCATAAGAGTGCAAAAAAATGTGAGCTTGTATTCTGTGTCTCTGTACCCCTTGCACCCAGCGTAGGGCCCGGAACGATGTAGGAGTTTGAGTGAGTGAACAAATGAGGCTGGTGATGTTCAAGGTCTGGAATCAGCCTGCAAATGTTTTCCTTTCGGACCTAACAGAACAGTAAGTATTTGTGACTGTATCTGAGGTTTCCGCCTTCACCACAGGCCGCCCTGGAGTAGTGGACATCCAACAGAGTCCTCAAGGCCATTTGCTTGAGCCCTGAGGTTGTTGGGACTTAGGGACTGGGAGCAGAAGCTGACAAACATCATCACCTGACCGGCCAAAAGAAGGAACCTTCTGGCTCCTCAGTGTGCAGAGCCCCAGAGATGGGCCCCACGGTCTCTGGCCTCAGCCCCACATCTGTGATGTTTGGTGGCCCGGGCCACTCTGGCAGCTGCCACGACAACCCCGGCATGTGGAGAAGTCCCCCAGATTGTTTTCCAGGTAAGTTTACCTGGAGGTGGCACTCGGGAGAGTCAGGAGTAAGAAGCCATCCATGCTAATAATAGCGATTAAGCCCACACCTTGATTGCAGGCACTGGTATTACAGGTTGGACAAAGGTGTGAAAAATCACAGCCTGTAAGCCAACCTCTGAGGCCTGGCGATGCCCAGAAGGAAAGAAGCTACGTGGAAGATGACTAAGGAAGTATGAGTCCTGGCTAATCCCCAGAGCAAATCAGGCTTGCTGGGAGCAGTGAGGGCGGCCCAAAAGCTCAGAGCGAAGGCCAGTACAAACAGGGGCGCCCCTGTGATCTGGAAACCTCCCAATCCTCTTCCCCCTAAAAGTCTGAGTACTCTTTACAACTCAAGTAGCCAGGGGAGCACCTGGGTGGCTCTGTCCGGTAAGCGTCTGACTTCAGTTCAGGTCATGATCTCATGGTTCAGTTTGTGAGTTCGAGCCCCGCATCAGGCTCTGTGCTGACAGCTCAGAGCATGGAGCCTGCTTCAGATCTGTGTCTTCCTCTCTCTCTGGCCCTCCCCTGCTGGCGCTCTGTCTCTGTCTCTCTGTCTCTCTCTCAAAAATAAACATTAAAAAAATAGAATGGGGAGGAGGTGAGTGCAGTGTGGGGAGGGGGGAGTGCTTGAAAGAGGTGTGAGCTAGGCTGGAGTTGGGGGAGCTCCAGGAGACTGAGGAGAAGGCAAGAGGAAGGGTTGGGGCCTTTGCCCTGCACCGCCCTCAGTCTGGAAGGCTCTTCCCCACATATCCCCGCGGTCCCCCTCCCCTCCTTTAGGTATCTGCCCCAAGGTCACCTCCTCAAGGAGGCCTTCCCTGACCACCCCACCCAAACCCACCCCCTGCCGTTCACTTTACTTCTGATCTTTCTGCTCTGCTGTGGTTTTTTTCTTCTTTCTTCTTGACTTCTAAGTATGAATTCAGTGCTTATTGTCAGCCTTTCCTCATTCATATGTAAGCTCCATGGCCAGGGGGGGTTGTGGGGTTTTATCCACAGCTGCATCCCCAGGACTGAGAGGGGTGCCTGGAACAGAGTAGGTGCTCCATAGATACGGGCCAGTGCTGGGCTGGTGTAGCCGAGTCCTGAGCACCCCAGGGGACAGGCCCACAGAAGTGGGAATCCATCCACTGATGCAGACGGGTCGCATTTAAGTGAGAGACAGAAATCTAGAAGGAGCAAAGGACAGCGGCCTCAGTGTGCTAACAGCACAATCACTTCTCACCTTTGACCTCGCCAGGCCGAGCAGCAGCCCTGTCATCTGGGGCCTGAGACCCTGGGAGGTGTGAGCCATGAGCAGCCACCCCGGGGGCACACGGGCACTGCGGTGAAGCCTGTGGGGAGCCTGCAGGCCTAGACCTTGAGTAATGACAGGTGCCCAGCCTTAGCGTGGTTTGCAATTATGAAATATTTGATACCTACAGCCCATATAATCAAGGGGCACCTATGTCGTAAAATAATAAAATGAATACCAGGGCACCTACTGACTATCCTAGAGTTAACCACCATCTTGATCCTTGCATCTAGTACACCTGGCTTTGTTTTGCAAGTAGCCTTCTGGCTGTCCCCTGTGCCATGAATGTTACATGTAACCCAGGATATGATATTGTTTGGTTTCATGCTTCGTAAAGGTGGTGTCGTGTTCTGTCACTTGCCTTTTTGCTCATTCTCTTCTTAGATTTGTCCTTGTCGTGGCCTTGTTGAAGGCTGTGGTTCCTTCTTTTTCTCTGGTGTGTAATACTCTGCGGTGTGCCCATGACACCCTGAAGTCAGCCACTTTATCATACCTCCAGCACCCACACTTTTCTGAACAAGGCTACAATTTAAAAAAAAATTTTTTTTAAGTTTATTTATTGATTTTTGAGAGAGAAACAGGGAGAGTGAGTGGGGGAGGGAGGCAGAGAGAGAGAGAGAGAGAGAGAGAGAGAGAGAGAGAATCCCAAACAGGCTCCACACTGTCAGCGCAGAACCGGACATGGGGCTTGAACTCATGAACCAAGGGATCATGTCCTGAGCCAAAACCGAGTTGATGCTTAGCTGA